AAGAGGAGATCGCATTATACGTCACAGTGTTACAAATTCCCTGGGTGTGATTGTCCTCGGGCCGCGGTAATGGTGTTTCGAGGGGGGGGGGGGGGTAATTGTCCTCGGGGGGGTAGTTGTCCTCGGGTGGTAATTGTCCTCGGGGGTAGTTGTCCTCGGGGGTAATTGTCCTCGGGGGTAATTGTCCTCGGGGGTAGTTGTCCTCGGGGGTAATTCTCCGGGGGGTAATTGTCCTTGGGGGGTAATTGTCCTCGGGGGGTAATTCTCCGGGGGGTAATTTTCCGGGGGGTAATTGTCCTTGGGGGGTAATTGTCCTCGGGGGGTATTTCTCCGGGGGGTAAATTTCCAGGGGGTAATTGTCCTTGGGGGGTAGTTTTCCGGGGGTAATTTTCCGGGGGGTGATTGCCCAGGGGGTAATTGTCCTGATACGGAACAAAACTTATATTTTTAGAAATAAAAAAGTCCGAACTTTCATTTGTATATTTACAAACATATCACGAAATTGACTGAATGATGCGCAATGAGCAATGAAAGTAGAAAGCACCGCCATATTTTCCATTACTGGCGATGTAACCGAAATCGCTCCGTCACATGGGAAACTAGTCTTTTACCATATTAAAATGTTTTATAGACTTTGTTTAAATGCCTGACTTCCCAATTATTTTACTTTTTTATGGATTTTTTTTTTTTTTTTAATGGGGAAGGAAAAAAATTCCGCCCACCCGCCCCTACTCCAGAAAAGCAATCGAGGACAACTAAATGATTTTTGGAGGCCTTACAACTGTCAATTAAAGTTCACTAGGAAACCAAAAAATATCGATGGACGATGCTCGTAATTACCCCCCCCCCCCCTTTCCCCGACCCCGAAATATTGATGGGAATATGAAAATTGTAGTTACACGGATATTTAACCTAGTGTTATCCATTACGACTGTTCCCTAGGAAACCAAAAATATCGATGGACGATGCTCCCCCCCCCCCCCCCTTCCCCCGAAAGATTGATGGGAATATATGAAACATCTGAGACTTGGCATTTATAAATTGTACTTAATTAAAATAAATGTGCAATCCATTTGCTTTAAAGGAAAGCAAACAAAATCAGGGGAACGTATTCATGAAAGTTTGAAAAACGATCCGATAAACAAGAACAGATAACAAAACAAAGGCCTTATAATTGCGGGGTGCGAAAACAGCCATTCAATAACCCACCCCTGATGCAAAACCGGTTTTGTTTGGCTATTCACCGGAGCCAACGCGTAGGCTGAACAGGTCTGTTGTTTCCCGATTCGGGCATAAATAGTGCGCCTTATAATTGAATAGACTGGGTTTAATACGTTATCACTTTGCAGTTGTAGAAAGAAAGACACGCAACCGATATTATTGAAAGTTTACAACAAAACAAATTGGCCCGAATTCACAAAGCAAGGTTTGAGCTCAAACCTCCTTTTGTTTCGCCAAACCTCCTTTTGTTATTTGCAAACAAGGCGGTTTAGCGAAACAAAAGGAGGTTTGAGCTCAAACCTTGCTTTGTGAATTCGGGCCATTGTGTCTCACTCAGGCCTACAATACACGTATCTCTCTCTATCTTGTCTACTCTACCTCGATCAAAATTAGCTCGCAGACAAAAGCCCTTGTCAGTCGTAATACATAACATAGAGTCTGATTTAAGAGACTGCAATACGTCATGTACTGTACCTCTCGAAACAACCATTTATAGACCAGGGGAATCTCACATCTCCCTGCATAGAAAAAAACTTTCAAGATATATCTTTCATATCTTTCAAGATATAGTGTATGTGCCCGCAGACTTATCAAATGGCCCTGCTCGAGAACCCCGTATTTCTTTATAGGGGCACATTACGGTGCGGGATCAGTCCAATAACTCTAAAGGCCGATATTATGTAATGCTATCTGTGCCATATAGATTCACTTGTATTCATATTACCGGACGTCTCGTAGTTTCACGGTTCAGACCTCTAGTGTTATCCATTACGACTGTCAATTTAAGTTCACTAGATAGGAACCAACAAAATATCAATGGATGATGCTCCCCCCACCTCCCCCCTCCCCCCTCCCCCCCCCCCCCCCCCCCCCCCCCCCCCTCCTTCCCCCGACCACGAAAGATTGGTGGGGATATGAAAGTTGGATTGATGACTGTATCTTGGAAATGTTGTAATCAACACCCAAGTTCGAACAGACCGCGATATTTACGATTGTTTTGAGGTCGCCGACATGTGGCGGGAATGTCATAATAAATCTGTCATTATTTGAATGTCCTTGTTGCGACTGGTCAAATGCCATGGTGAGGAGCAATTATTTCCGATGACAAAAACATTTGTGTATTACAAAAAATTCCAACATTTTAGGATTGTTTATAGGCATACCAGTCTCTCTCTCGATAATAATAAATCCATCTCAATCTCGAATAAACACTGTCTCCTTCTTATCTAAATGAGGCGTCATGTCAATCAACACCAAAGTTTAAAACACGCGTATATTTGACATTGTTACGCGCCTTTGTTCTGAGAGCGCCGACATATTTGTGGCGGGAATGCCATAATAAATCTGTCATTATTTGTATGTCGTTGTTGCGCACATGTCATGTTGTTGTCCACATGCCATGTGGCGTGAGATAACATTGTTCAATTATTAGAGCATGCGGACCATTTAGATTGGAAATAAGAAATAAGAAATCTTGTTTTTCTAATATATATAAAAAAGACTACATTAGTCTCTTGCTTTCTCTTTCTTTCCCTCGTTCTCTGCAATTCCCCTCCGGCTCACTTAATTTTCATCTCCCCCCCCCCCCCACTATCTACTGATCTATATATGACCTTCTCTTTATTTGTTTTGGAATAAATAATCACACCCTCTACAATCTTTATGAAATTCCGTAAAGAAATATGATATAAGTCCAAAAAAAAAAAAAAAAAAAAAATCATTATTTGTAAGAGATGGAATTAAAAAATTAGAGAGGGTTGATGAAGTAGGTGATTTAAAAAAAAGGGGGGTTGGGGGGGGGGGGGGTAAGGTAGGATAGTGTGCGCTTAACAAACAAATTATACACAACATATAAGCACAGACCACAAACAAAATAATGTCCGTCTCGGTTTGGAAATAAGATTATTCGAAACGACATATGTGCTTTCCTTCAGGCGCAGACGCATGGAGGGGGGGGGGGGGCAACGGGGCCAGGCCGCTTCCTCCCTGGCCAAAAAAAAAAAAAAAAAAAACGGACCCCCCATCCCTGCCAATAAAAAAAGTTTAAAAATAAGATGGTAACCACAAATATCCACTCTCGCTTTTTATCTAAATGTATCATTTCATTAGTCCTCAGATCTTTCAACACCCACCATCTTTTGCATCCTCTTTCTTCCTCTCATTTTGATCATTCAGATTCATCCGCATTTTCATGCAAAATATTTTCTTCATTCTTTCTCAATCTTTCTTCTACTCTTTTTACCATCTTTAATGAGGCATCATGTCAATCAACACCAACGTTTCAAAACACCGCGTATATTTGACACTGTAACGCGCCTTTGTTCTGAGAGCGCCGACTCAGAACATATTTGTGGCGGTCTGGCAGGAATGTCATAATAAATCTGTCTTCATTCTTTCTCAATCTTTCTTCTACTCTTTTCACCATCTTTAATTAGCTGAAGAAAAGAAAGAAAATCAATTACAATATCACCGACGCTTGAGAAATAAATAGTGAGAGAAAGAGAGCTACAAGCGAAAACAATTAAATATCGCTGATGTTACCGGTTAGCCGTCGGAAAGAAATAAAAGTAAGTCCATTACATAGAGATGTGTTATTAAGTATATATCTCTATGGTCCATTATCACCTGCGCTCGAGAAATGCAAAGAGCGACCGATCGCGGGAGAGACAGAAGCGAAACCAATTAAATATCTGTTGATTTCTATCAATTCTTATGGTTCATTCTATATCGAAACTATTCCGGCACGCAATATCAAGAAGGTAGTCGCTGCCGATCGATATCGCCTTTGTTCGGATGGCCTATTCATGGAGCAATCCAGAATGCACCCAGAATGCGCCAATTAAGTCGTTAATTACCGCATTCTAGGTACATTCTAGGTACATTCTGGAATGTGGATTAACGGAACAATAGATTCTGAATAGGGCATTCTACATGCATTCCGAATGCCAGTTGAATAAATCCGTGGCGCCTAAGTAAGTCCGTAAATTATCAATTTAATATTGAGTTATCAAATTTTGATAACTGTAATTAGGACAAATGACATACCGACCTAATTTACATCTGATTTAGAAATCAGGAAATTAGATCTAAATAAAGAAAATCGGGGAGAAAATGTTGTGGACGAAAGTATGCACATATAGATCTAGGCCTAGACTTTCTATGGCCATCCCCACGGTACGAGATCTCTGGGTTGCCATCTGTATTGGGGAATGACAACAAATGTCAGTTTTATTAAAGAAATGACCCAAATCAGATGGTTATTGCTGTCTAGTTCGAGTCGTGCATATTCAGCAATTTGAAGCGATCAGCGCTCTATAATAGCATGAATATTCATATTTGATGTGCCACTACTGCGCATGTGTACCTTCTTTTCGCCATTTTGAATGGACGCTGCAACATGGAAGAATCGTTGGTGTAGGACTCAGAATAGACCCTGTCCCTAACCCTTTTTTTCCAATCAAAGACTTCTTCAAATTATAAATTCAAGTGATTGGAGTGATGCCCAGAGGAGTCGTGCAACCTATAAAGTCAAAATTGTAAGGACCCCCTTTGCAGATTTAAAGATAATATCGCCTAATCGGCTGTTTTACTAACCCCAGGATGGGTCACCTGAAGCTCCGACGCTGCGGGGCGGCGCCGGTGTTGGAGCTTCCTGGAGTTAGGGGGCGATCTGACCAGACACCCTTCAACCACACACGAATTTCTGCGTGTAGGCCAAGCCAAGGGCCTGCGCAATCATACAGTCAATAGAACGCTCACACAACCACCTTAGTCCTTACCTTTCACGCAAAAAGGCCTCCGGGATTATTCTTTGATGTTTAAGAGTTAAGACCAAGTAAGTTACCACTTTCTTGATGCAGATGTGGAACCTCAAAATTGAAATTGGCGACTGGGGAAGCTAGTAGTAGTACTTAGCCACCGATAATGGCATTATAGTGTCTCCAAAACGTCCAATCGAAAAGGAAACAGACAATTTTGCACGTCTCGGTTGACGTTCTTTTTAAAACTATCTATTGACATTTTAACTAAATAATGACCATCACAATAGTAAAGGTGTGATCTTACGCTTTTCTCTCATTATGCAACATGCCGAAGCAAATTGTCTTAGTCTTACTGTTTAGATTTAATTTGGGGTTCAAACCGGCATATCGGAAGGTTTAACAGCACACTACAGAAAATACGTTTTTAACTTTGATGGCTTCTAAAGCTATAGTTTGAAATAATGACTAAAACCATTTTAAATATGAGGTCCTACTCTTCACTCTCAAAGATTTCACATGCCGAAGCAATATTTATTTGTCTGGGCCTTACGGTTTCATATTTAGGGCTAAAACCAACGGGATTTGTCCGTACTATACAGAAAATAATGGCCCAAATCCGTTTTCAACTTTTAAGGCTCTCGAAAACTATCGTATCACATTTTAACAAAATAATGACCGACACCATTTTAAAGGTGAGATCTTATTATTTACTCTTATATATGTCACCTGCCGAAGCAATATTTGTACAGTAGGTCTTACTGTTGAAGAGTGAATTTAGGGCTCAAACCGTTAAAAACGGGGATTATTATTTTGGGCATTTACCGGTAAGTATATAGTGACAAAATGCGTTTTCAACTTCGAAGGCTTTTAAAACTATCGTATGAAAATCTAACTAAAAAATGACTTACACGGTTTCAAAGGTGCGATATTACTATGTATCTCTCATATAAGTTTACATGTCGAAGCAAATTATCTGGGTCTTACTGTTTCAGATTCAATCTGTTGCCTTATACGGGTTTATGGGCATCACGAGTATAACTGGACAAAAATGCGGTTTATATACTTTAAAAGCTTTTAAAACTATTGTATGACATTTTAACTAAATAATGATTTACACCATTTCGAAGCCGAATTCCTGCTCTTTACCCTAAATGTCACACGTCGAAACTTCTTGTTTGGGTCTTATTGTTTCAGATTGAAATTAGGGCTGAAACGGCGGCATATCGAAAGGCTTATCCGATCATTAATAATCCTCGTCTGAATACAGTTTTCCACCACCCGCGCAAAGCGCGGAAGCTTTTACGTTTCATTAAATCATTAGAGAAAAAAGACGATTCGTTGTACCGTTTTTGACTCTTAATCCTTGTCTGAATTTCAAAAATATTTTTTGTCTGCACCTTTTTCTTTATACGTCCTCTTTCTTTTCTTTCCTCTCTCTTTTTGGCCGGCGTTTTTTTTTTTTTTTTTTTTTTTTTTTTTTTTGGGGGGGGGGGGGGGGCGCCCCCACTGCCCCCTGGCTACGCGCCTGCGGTCAGATGAACATCTTTTGATACTTTGTCCGCTCCCGGAAACTCATGGGTTGAAGGCAAATTACGGTCAGATAATCATTCAGGGGCCCGCCTCAGGCCCCTGGTGGGGTCGAGGGTGCGGAAACCCCTGAATCTCAGGAAACCCCTGAATCTCAGGGGTTTCAGGCATTTTGATTACGGTCAGATAAACATATTTTTATACCTTATTTGTGACACTGGCAGGACACTGATCGGCGTGAGGTCCAGCGGGCGGAGCCCCCAGAAGCTCAGTGGGGTCTAGGGGGCAGAGCCCCCGGAAGCTCAGGGGTTAAGGCATTTGATTACGGTCATATGAACAAATTTTTATACTTTATTTGTGACACTGGCAGGACACTGATTGGCGTGAGGTCCAGCAGGCGGAGCCCCCAGAAGATCAAGGGTTTTAGGCACTAAATTGCGGTAAGATTAGTATCAAGGGGCCTGCCCAAGGGCCCTTGGTGGGGTTCCAGGGGCAGAGCCCCCGGAAGCTCAGGGGTTTTAGGCGTTTAATTACGGTCAGATGAGCAATTTTTGATACCTTATTTTGTTGTGACACCGTAGTTACTATTCTTTCTCTCTTGCTCTCTTTCTTTCTATTTCTCTTTAAAATGCTTTTCAAAAAAAATTGGGGCGGGGGGGGGGGGGGGGGGGGGGGAGCTGGAGGCTCCCGATCCCCGCCGTTCCGCGGGCCCTGACATGTAGGCATCTCAAGAAGCATATTTCTTGCCTGGCTGTTAATTTACAAACGCATACAAAGTATAATTTACTAAAGAATGAAGAAAAATCTCGGAAAATTATGTCATTTCAGCATTATGTGTAAACCACCGTTAAGGAATTAGAAATAAACCACGTTTAAATTTTATTTTTCCCGAGCCCCCTCCCCGATCGAAAAATTCGCAACTGATCTCCCCTACCTTTCTTATTTTTTTTTTCTTTCCCTTTCTCTCCTCTTTCCTTCCCTTCCCTTCTCTCTTTAAGGTTTGATGGGGGGGGGGGGGAGGGGGAGGCAAGGTCATTTCGGCCCCCACCCTTCTCCACACGTTGTTGGCGGTATTAACTGCAAATGATCTATTTCCCCTTCTTTTCACTTTTTTCCGGTCCCTTTTAGCTCTTTTTTCCTTCTCCTTCTTTCCCTCTTTTTTTTAGCAAGGCGGGGGAGGCAAGGGCATTTTGCCCACCCCCTCCCCGATCCACAACTTGTTGGCGGAAAAATTGCAACTGATACCCCCTTCTTTCTATTTCCTTCCTCCTCTCTTATTTTTGTTATTGGGGGAGGGAGGGAGGGGGAGGCGAGGCTCTTTCGCCCCCCCCCCGATCACTTCTTCCCCTTTTCTTCCTCTTCTTTCTTTCCCTTTCTCTCCTCTTTCCCTTATTTTCCTTCTCTCTTTCTCTCTTTTTTTCCTCCTTTTTTTCCCTCCTTTTTTTTCCCTCCTTTTTTTTCCCTTCCTTTTTTTGTCCTTCTTTTTTTTCCAGGGGGGGGGGGGGGTGAAGCCTCTTGCCCGAAAAAGTAATTTTCTGGTTCACAATCCGGCTTGTGAGCGAGCAAAAATTTAAGCATATTATGTATTTTGTAAAAGTGTTATTTATCACCAAGATAAAACGAGAAGAGATATCAAAAATTCATATTCGGGCAGCTCGATGTGTCCCCCATTACGCGCGAAAGCTTTTTAACTTTCATTAATTATTAGAAAAAGAAGACGATTTGTTGTACCATTCTCAACTCTTATTCCTTGTCTGAATTCAGTTTCCTTCCCCCCTCCCCCTCTCGTGCGAAGCGCGGAAGTTTTGGCCATTTTATTAAATTCTTAGAGAAAGAAGACGATTCGTTGTACCATTCTCGCCAATCCTTGTCTTAATTCAGTTCCCCCCACCCCCCCCCCCCCGCGGAAGCTTTCACCTTTCATTAATTATCAGAGGAAAAAAACGATTTGTTGTATCATGCTCGACTCTGATTTCTTGTCTGAATTCAGTCCCAACAGTTTTCAACTTTTAAAGCTCTCAAAACTATCGTATCACATTTTAACAAAATAATGACCGACACCATTTTAAAGGTGAGATCTTATTATTTACTCTTATATATGTCACCTGCTGAAGCAATATTTGTACAGTAGGTCTTTCTGTTGAAGAGTGAATTTAGGGCTCAAACCGTTAAAAACGGGGTTTATTATTTTGGGCATTTACCGGTAAGTATAATTTGACAAAATGCGTTTTCAACTTCGAAGGCTTTTAAAACTATCGTATGAAAATCTAACTAAAAAATGACTGACACGGTTTCAAAGGTGCGTTATTACTATGTATCTCTCATATAATTTTACAAGTCCAAGCAAATTATCTGGGTCTTACTGTTTCAGATTCAATTTATAAAGCTCAACCCGCCATATACGGGGTTTATGGGCATCACGAGTATAACTGGACAAAATGCGGTTTAGATACTTTAAAAGCTTTTAAAACTATTGTATGACATTTTAACCAATCAATAATTAACACTATTTCAAAGCTGAATTCCTGCTCTTTACCCTAAATGTCACATGCCGAAACTTCTTGTTTGGGTCTTATTGTTTCAGATTGACATTAGGGCTGAAACGGCGGCATATCGAAAGTCTTATCCGCGTATCATATCAAGATTCAAGATTCAAGAGAGAGAGAGAGAGAGAGAGGAAGCATTGATATAGATATACAAAAAGAGTCAACCTCCACTTCACTACGGAACACATATCTTAAGACATTTAATAAATAGTAAGATAAAGTGATCCGAATATATAAGAATACAATATTTATAATATATAATCATGAAGGTAGTACATTATGTCAAGATTGTAGGCATTATGACTATCTCAAGTCATGCTGCTTTACATGATAATTTCCTCTCAGATTAAAATGCATGACAAAAATACATGGACATAATAATGGAGAAAATCAACAGCAGAGCTAAACAACGGATGTTTGTAACCCCCTAAGCTGATAAGGTGGAAAACTTTCCTACCCTAATCCCTGCAAATTTATTTTACTGGGTGGGTAGAAAATAAGTTAACAAATAATCATAATTATGTCGCTTACAGGTGAGAACTTCGTGTTGTTTGTGCAATGTAGATGTGTATGGAATTTGGAATAAAAGAATAATGGCCCAAATAAGTTTTCAACTTTGAAGGCTTTTAAGACTGTCATGTGACATTCTAACTAAATAATGACCTACGTCATTTTCAAAGCTGAAAGCATGTTCGTTACTTTCATGTCCTATGCAGACGCGGATACACGATTTTCCAATGGGGGGGGGGGGGGGGGGGGGGGGGTGAGGGGTGAGGGGTGAGGGGGCCGGAAATTTGAAAAATGCGCAGACCGTTTTTTCAACTCAACATACCAATACTGACAAGGCAGGGGTTAGGAGGACACTTTTTTTTTTGGGGGGGGGGGGGGAGGTCTCGAAATTTGAAAATTTGACATTTTGTTCCGTTGGGGGGGGGTGAGGTCACCTTTTTAAGGTCACCCATTGACATAATTTTTTTGTTTTGTTTTGTTTTGTTATTAACAACAACAACAAAAAAGCACAAAAGGGGGGGGTTTGCTCCAAGATACACACAAACAAAACCGAAGGGGGGGTTCAACCCCCCTCCCCCCT